TGCTTCTCCCTCTGCCTGTGTCTCTGCCTCTCTGTCTCTCTCATGAATAAATAAATAAGATCTTTAAAAAAACAAAGAGTTTGACTATATACTGGTATTTGCCAACAGAGGGTGGGTATCCCTCTCAAGTCTAAAGCCCTACAATGGTCAATCTCTCCCCATCCAGTATTTTGTTGTTTTGCTATGAGATTTCAAGGAGACTGAAATTTTTTAAATTATGAAATACACATTTGAAAGAATATTTAAAATAATTTATTAAGTTGAAATCATTAGCAAATGAATGCATCAGAAGCTACCTGGCCTCGGTTCCATGCTGTAAGTAAAGGGACCACCCAGAGTGCCACTACCTATATCCTTCTCTTTCCTGTGGATTATGGTTGAGAAGTTAGATTATCTCAGGTCATGGAGAAAGAATGGTAGTTGGGATCAGAAAACAGAAGGGTTGATAATTCTTTTGTTATCTTAAAAAATAGTACCCCAAAAGTAGGATTTCTAGTCCATTTATTCTGGGTGTTGTAGATATTGCATCTCAAAAACAGTGGTATATCGTGTCTACCTGTTTATGCCAGTTTCTTGGTGAAGCATTGGAAGCATGTTGGTAATCCAGATTAATGTGCATTGAATTCAGTTAGAAATTGTCTTGATGCTTGAAAATGACCAAATGACTATAATCCTTGCTCTTAATACTTGTTTTGAAACAGAAATTCTATTTCCAATACAGTTAATCTCTTGGAATCTTCTCTTTCCCTATGCATTGCTAGTATTTGTAAAAAATGAGAAGCAGGGGGTGGGGGCAGCAGCTGTCAGATCAGAGGCTTGTATTCACTGCTGCTTGCAGAGTCCATTGTGCCACCATGGGATATAAGACTAATACAAGTAAAACATAGTTTGAGGATAAAAGAAGTATCTTGGACATACAACCAATAATGTATACAGACCTTTTAGCAGCAGAGAGAGCATAAATCATGTCTCTAAGAGGGGGAAAGCCCACCTTCTGGAGAAAAACCTGCTAATGAGATCACACAGTAACTAGACTTTTTAATTCTAAGGTTTAAAATTTTTATCAGACTTTGCTTTTATTCAAAACAATTTGAATAAGTGAAGAAAGAAAAGGAAATGACCTCTTACACGTAAGTCTAAATGTCCAGTTAAAGATCTCTAAGGTATGTTTATAAAAAACATTTTAATTAAGCCTCTAATTATATATTTGTAGTTCTTCTTGCATGTTTTTCAGTTTGGTAACATAGAAACAAAAAACCACAGAAATCAATTTCAGAAATATTTTAGCTACCAAGGACCTTTATGGAGGCCACTGTGAAAAAAAGAAATTATTTCCAATAGTACTTTTCATAAATTATGCATGCTTCAGTGAAAGTGGCTAAAGGTAGAGTATCATGCCACACTGGCTTGACAATGAATTTAAGGTTAACATATGTGGTGGGTCACTTAGAAAAGAAGACCCCAGATACTAAATTCCATGTCATCTTGTTGTTTATTTTTGTTTCTTTGGAAAAAGATTCTTCTTAGATGTCTTAGGGAGAATCCTAATGCATAGAAAAGGAGAGGGCTCTTTTCTACGCACAGGGCTGCTCTGGTTGGAGCAGATATTGGGACCCTCAGCTGTCCATCTTTCACATCACCCTTTTCTACCTCTCCTGGCACCACCTTTTGGGAGGCCTCTGGCTTACTGGAATCCCACAAAAAGTCTCAATGTAGTTGAAATTCTTGACTTTGCAAATATATCTAGACATTACAGCTAATTAATGGATGGGGTTGGGCCCAGAATGAATTCCTATTTTCTACTGCACAAAGTTGCCTGTTTGCAGCTCCTGAAATTAGTTCTGGATAGAAAAATCTCTTCCCTTTAACTAAATAGTAGACATTTTTTGATATTTAAATTAATGGAGGCCAGAGAGAGCTATCATATGAAATGTATTTGTGAACTATATACCTTCCAAACACAGGCTCATTTTTGGAAGTAGATTTTGGTATTCTGTTGTCTCTAATTATGAGCTTAGAGATAGGTGGGGCTTCTCAAAAATGCCTTCAGTAGACAAAGTTAAAAATATTTAGTCAAAAATAGTGCCCCGCTTCCAGCACAGATTAGTGTGTGTGGCCGTGTCCCCTGCCCAACTCCCCTACCCACCCAAGTTGTCTTCCTTCAGTGCTTCCCTGCCCTTTGTTGAAGAAAGTAGCTACCCTGAAGCACAAGGATCCTTCAGGCTGCAGAGTAAATCCCTGAATTTAGAGATTCCCAGGGTCAAATGACACATTCTGTGTTTCTTCTCCAGCTCAGAAACCTTTACCCTTCCTAATGGGAAAATCTGATGTCTCTCCCACACCCAAGTTGCTTCTAAGGGCCCTACCTGGGTGCTTATAGTCTCTCTTAAGCATATATCCTCCAGCCAAGAAGACTGTACTGAGCTTTAGTTCCTGAGCTAGCATTTTAAAAGACAGGCATCTTTATATGACTATAATAAATAGTGTTTAATAGGTTTCTACAAATCATACCCCCAAATCTGAGGATATGGGCATGTGGGGTGTTAGGACACTTGGTTGATAATCAGCTTTTGCTTAATTTTTTTCCTTGGTTTTTAAAATGTCTAATCTGACAAACTAAACCTGTCGAGGCTTATTATCTAAAATATGTACATTCAAAATCCTTTGTATGAGTTCACGGTGGCAACTGTCATATCAAGTTTACCGGTAAGATGTCACCTGGACCAGTCACCTGGTCTCAAGAACCCCTTTTTAAAATTGTTTTACTGGGCAGCCCGGGTGGCTCAGCAGTTTAGTGCCACCTTCAGCCTGGGATCAAGTCCCATGTCGGGCTCCCTGCATGGAGCCTGCATCTCCCTCTGCCTGTGTCTCCTTCTGTCTCTCATGAATAAATAAATAAATCTTTTAAAAAAAATAAAATTGTTTTACCTTTTTTCCCCTCTTGCTTTCTACCCATTCGTGAACACCTACTTTTAATCATTATTTACATTTTTCGTCCAGTAACAGAATTAGTTATGTTAATCACTAAGCAACCTTGACTAATGTGATTCACTTAGTGCATTTAGAAGATTGTGCCAGAAAAAAAAAAAAAAAAAGATTGTACCAGCAAAGTACGATTTTCTTATAAGGAGGATATCGAGGTAATAAAAAGTGACATATTGGTGTCACTTCTGAGATGGTATTATTCTAAAATCACTTAGCCTTTCTCTTATGTGTAAAGAGATACATATTTTGTTTGACTTGAGTGTGCAAGAAATGTCTATTTTGTTTTCTGTAAATCAAATCAAGCCTGTTTCAAGTCCTATCCTGAGAGGTGGAAAGTTCATTCTCAGTCTTCCCTGGGGATTTCTATCCTTGTCCTGAAGGACCACATAAAGGATCTCATGCAAGGAGAGGATTCAGGAAAGACTTCCCTGATTTCTAGTCAATTCCAGTTACCAGGACTGCTGTCCAAGCCACCGTCCCTTGTAGCAGGATATTTTGTAGCACTTTTTGGGACAGGAATTTCACCTGGTACTGGGACTCCCTGGGCCTGGGATCCCATTTCTCTGGATGCTCTAGCTGCTTCCTCTTCAAATGGACCCATCCCATAAAGGCACCACTGGGGGGAAAAAAGATGCAGGTCTCCCATTTCTTTAGAAACCTATAGCCTTTGGTCCCTTTTCAAAATCTTGGATAATCTCCTCCTCCTCTTGGCTCTTAACACTTCTACTTCTCTTTTACCTGCTAAAGGCCTAGGGTTTATCTTTGTCCTCAACTCATAGCATCATGCCCTCTTTAAAATAAGATCTTGGAAGAGAAGTTGTTTTCAGAAAAAAAAAAAGTTGTTTTCAGGAGACTAGCACCAAAGCCTTCCCTGAGCTTAGGGAACACAAAGGCTTTTCTATCTTCCTTCAACAAAGAGTAGGGAAATAAGAGCAAAATTCAAATGAGTATCACAATAGAGTCTCCTATATAATATTTGACACGTATAATAATTTACATGATGATATTAGAGTAATAGGAAAGTTCTTTATTCCTTTAAGTATGTTTTGAAAGTTTAAAAAATATTTGTCATTCGCTGATGTTGTGTTGCCTTACATATATTTGGTATCAACATTACCGTTATCCATAGAGTTAACCTTTCAAAGGAATGTAAGCCCCATTTTATTTCCTTTTTCTCAATTCTAATCTTGCAGTAGGTGAAGGAGAAAGGCCTGAAGTCATTCTCCATGCCATGGAAAGGAGCAATGGAGATTGGCTGCATAGCCAGAATGGTGGTTTCTAATGTGTATTCCTAGGGGATGTGCAATTGTGCAAGGCAGACAAGATGCAGGAGAACAAGTGAGACCAGCTGTGTAGGGATCCTGGGATCTCCATGCCTATTTCCCAACATCCCCGTTGTGCTTTTTTACTTACTTTTTGTATTCCATGTAATACTTTGTTTAAATGAAGGATTCCATTGCTATAAAAATTAGGAAATCATTGAAGGATATATGCATGTATGTACCTATAACATTTGAAACTCCCCAGCACTTGGAGTTAAAGATCTTCCTTTTTCAATAGTATAATTTTATGGTGTAGAAATGAACATTCCCCTTAAACTATTCTGTTGATGAATTAATTACTATTTACATGTGAAAATTCCCAAATGATAGCTTAAGGTTAGGGGATAGTATAATTTAGACTCTCAGTTCCTTTTCTGGTTTATAGGACATCCATTGTAGATAGTTGTTGGCATAAATCTTGCTGCTTGTTATAATGAAATCGTTCTTATCAGTTCCATCACTCACCTGCTCCCTATACAGAAAAATACGGTTCATAGAAAACATTAACTAGTGTTAGCCTATATACTGAATTGTGTCTCAACCAGGATTTTAAAAATTAACTCTTTATTTATACTATTTTATGGTTATATTGATCATCATGCATTTATATCTATTGGTTCTTCATATTAAAATTACTCAACTAAAATAAATTATTATGCAGAAGGTTTTAGAATTCATTTCAGACAACAATACTTAATTTTTAAATTATGAGCTTTATTTTATGCCTAGCCAAATGACATGTTTGCTAGGACATTCATCAAAGATTTCATGAGACACAAGTTTAAATATTCATATTAAATGTTTTGTAATGACATTTATAATGTTACGTTTTTACTTTTTAAAAACATAGTTGAGTAAAACTATTTCAGTGTCAGACATTTTTAGTAACACATACTGTGTTGTAGCTTTCAGAACAGTTCCTTTTTTAACTTACTCTGCTACTAATATTCTAGTACATAGACTTAAGAATATATAGAGTTTGTTGTGCAATGTAAGCATTAAAATTTTTACTTCTATTAGTATCGGATACTAAAATTCGAGTATTCAAGTTTAGAGATGGTTTTTTCATTAGAAAAGTTCGTGCGGTCAATGCGAGAACTGGGACTTCCAACCTTGCTCAGCCAGGACATCCTACAAAAAATAAACAAATAAAACTTAGCATACAGCATACACATGGACTAGCTGAAACAATCCCACTCTAGGTCACAATGGGGGTTTACTAAGTAATTTTTGCATTTAATGTGAAATACAATTTTTTTGTTGTATACATCCTGTATCAGAGTACCAGAGTTTAATACATAATTAAATATGGACAAAGAAAAGCTAGTATCAAATTAAGCACAGTAAACTGATGACTTCATATTATTCCCTCCCAAACATCCAAAGCCATTACAATCTAGCTCTTATACATAAAAGGATTGTAAGCATACAAAGTGGTAATAAAAACAATTCACCATTTTTTTCTCAATACTCAGCACATGGTAGATGGTGTATATATACATATATATTTGTGTAGACTGAAATAAAATGAAAAAAATGTATAAAAGTGATTTTCTGCAAACATTAAAATGAAATTAGATGAACATATTTTCTTATCTATACAAAAGTCATTTCTTACTACATATATTATCAAAGTGACTATATTTAAAGGGACAAGTTAAATGCTCTGAAACTATTTTTCTGCTTCTGTAGTGTGATTTTTTAAAAAAAATTTTATTTATTCATGATAGGCAGAGACACAGGCAGAGGGAGAAGCAGGCTCCCTGCAGGGAGCCCGACGTGGGACTCAATCCCGGGACTCCAGGATCACGCCCTGGCCCAAAGGCAGGTGCTAAACCGCTGAGCCACCCAGGGATCTCCATGGTTTTCTTTAGTAGCAATCTTTGTGTGTCTCATTTAATGCATTTGGATACTTCTCTGAGATGCTTCCTATACAATTCAGGCTTATTTTAATATTGACATTTCAGATATTACTGTTAAAGATCTTCCAGAATCTATCTATTAATAATTAGTTGAGATGACACATTAAGTGGGACGATGGGTAAACAATAAAATCAGTTTTATACAAGTGATGGCTGTTATGCCAGCGTTGTTGTAGAAGTAGTCGACAAGTTGACTGGTATCCCCAAAGTTCTTGCAAGTTACGAAGCTGGTGCCATGCACAGCTGTGTAATGTCATAAGTAACAATCTCATATAACCTTGAATTAAAAATGTTTTGTAGGCTAAAGTCTGATTTGCTGAAAATTACTCTTCATCAGGTTAGACAAGAATTCCAATCACTCAAATTGGAATTGTGCTATTTTTCCGTTTCTTTGGCTCTCGTGACAGTTTACTAGGTAAGGGAAATTTCCATGTTTCTCCCTTTTGGAAGCTAAGCCCAATAACACATCTTATTTTCTTCAACTCAATCTTGAAGTTGCACATATTGATGAATTTCATTTCAGTTATTATGAAAAGGAGCCAATGGCTTCAATTTTAATATATTTTTTTGAAATCTTCTCTGAGACAGAGACTGGAAATAATAAAAGCGAAAATGTACTGAGCACCATTTGCTCAGCATTGTATTAAGTTTTTTTTTTTTTTTAAATTTTATTTATTCATGAGAGACAGAGAGGGAGGCAGAGACCTAGGCAAAGGAGAAGCAGGCTCCCTGCAGGGAACACTCCCTGAGCTGAAAGTAAATGCTCAACCACTGAACCGCTGAGCACCCAGGCATCCCTGTATTAAGTTCTTTAGATAGACACTCAACCCTGAGCCAAACATTAGCCCTGTACATTATAGTCCTGGACTATGCTCTCAAGTTACAGATAAGGAAAGAAAGCAGAATAGTTATGTAATGTGCTTAGGGTAACAGTGATGGTGGTGACAGATGGTCAGATTCTGGATGTGTTTTGAAGGTACAGTCAATAGATTTGCTGACAGATTGGACATGATGTGAGGAAAAAAGAACTAAAGGATGACACCAGAGTTACTGGTGAAAAACTACTTGGTGGTGGTTGTGATTCACTGAAGTGGAGGGACTATGAGAAGAGCAGATGAGGGGAAATTAGAATGTTGACTTTGAGCTATCTAGTAGACATCTATGTGAGATGTTGAACAGGCAGTTGGATCTTTGGGTCTGGCTGGAGAAGATGAAGTTTGAATTTGTCTAAAGGTAGCCAGTACTGAAAGTCATAAGATTGGATGCCATCACTAAGAGAATGAATATAGAAAAGGGAAGAGTTTCAAGGACTGTGTCTTTGGTTAGGGCATCCCAAAGTTAAGAGCTCGGAAAGCAGAGAAAGAACCAGGAAAGAAAAGTGTCCAGAAAAGCTGGGAGGGCATCCTGGACCAGGAGTCCAATGAAGCCCTCCACGAGTAGGAAGGTTCAAGTAAAGTGAGGACTGAGAACTAACCATTGCATTTGGCAACACACTGGTCACTGATGACCTTGAGAAGAACAGTTTTGGTGGAGTGAAAGCTATATTTGAGCTCAAGAGAGAATGAGAAGAGAGCAGCTGGAAACGGCGAATCTGAGACCAGGACTAATGGCCCTATGAGTTGCAATGACTAATCCACCTAGGATGATAACTCAATGTATTTAGCTAGTGGAGAGCCTAGCTACCTACTTGAAGCTGGTCTTCAACGCTATTTAAGAACTTCATCAGCTATAAGTATGGCCAAGGAGAAATGATGCCCCTGGTAGGAGCAGAATGGTTGTGCTGTTACATGATTCAGCTGTGTTCACACTGTATAGCAGATGGAGGGCCAGTTTGTACCAAGGCTCCAAGATGGTCCCTGTTGCTAGGAACCATCTTGCCTGACCTGTCTACTTACCTTGGAGTGCTCTGGTCACCTGCCACTTTGCAATCCCTAAGACTTCACTTGTGTGCTGCTCCTGTAATCAGCCCTTTATAGATGTGGCTCGGGTCTGGAGATGACAGTTCCAGGAGTTCTGCTAGCTAAAGTGCTCTAGTTTCACCTCTTTGGTCCAAGGAAGGTATTAGTTAAGAACCATATAATCAAACAGTACCAATTAATTCATTTTGATTCAATAAATATTTAAGTAGCACTGTATGCAAGGCATATCCTTGATATTCGAATGCATACATGGATATCTAAAATGAAGTGGTTTTTTTTTTTTTTCCCCTCAGTAACTCACAAGCTAATGGAAGAGTTTGGAGAATGTTAAAAATAACTATAATTCAGAATGTGAAATGCAATGTGACTTTAACATAAAGCGAAAGGAACCGGATGGGGTTAATTTCCGGACAAGGTACTCAGGGACATCTTTGTGATAGCAGTGGCACTGAAGCTAAGTTTTAAAAATAATACTAGAGAAATTTCCAAATCTTAGAATAAAGAATGCCACCTTAAACATGACAGAAAACCAAGAAGCGTAGAGGAAAAAATGTTAATTAAAGCTATGAAACTTTTGAATGTTTTAAGCAAAGCCAAAGCAAACAGCAAACTGGAAAACTTATTTGCAGTTTTCTTACTATACAAAGAACACTTAAAAATCAATACGTAAAAGACAGCCATCCAATAGAAAAATGGGCAAAGAAAATAAACAGATGAAAGGGAAAGAAATGTAAATGGCCAATAAATGAGAAAATATTCTCTTACTCATAATTTTAAAAATACCAATCAAGCAAGAAGGAGACACCATCTGTTACTTATGGAAATATGTGAAAATGTGATAATATCTAATAGTGATGGTTAAGGTGTGGGAAAAGAGGCACTTTTCTGGATTGTTGATGGGAATGCAAATTTGTACAGCCTTTTAAAAGGGCAATTTGGAGCCACTTCTCAAATTTGTAAATATCCATGACTTACAGACAAGCTGTCATAGAGAGGGGAGCCTGGGATACAGACTCTGAGGTGGAGATAAGTCTGTAGGGATGCTCTCAGGTTAAGAACTATGGGAGGCAAGGAAAGTAGACAGGATTGGACTGAGGGAGAAGTTGGGTGAGAGGTAGTTTCATTGAAGACCTCAGACAGGTCTTCAGGAGGAGCTCTGAAGCTGGGAAGACCTTTCAGAGTGGTCCCAATTTACAGTGAGAGGGCTGAGTCTTTACACCCCCTGGCAGGAGCCAGTCATTAGAGTAGAGCTGCCCAGAGAAGGAAGTGAGACAATTAGTGTGGTGATTTCCTTCTTCTGAGGCAGCTCCAGAAGCAGGCTGATGGCTGAGGATCAGTAGTCCCGGCATCTGAAGAAGAGGCCTTCAGTCCTGAAAGGGAGCCTGAGCAGCACATCTCAGCCCTACAGCAGAGAGCCTCACAAGTGGGAAGAAGGAATGAACTGAAGATGTAAGACAAAGAAGTGGTCGCTGAGGGGACAAGACCCCAGGGTAGAATGGAGGAAACAGGATCACTAAGTAGATTCATTAGGGTTAGAAAAGAGGACACTCTTCTCTGTACAGAAGAGAAAGGGTCCAAAAAAAAAAAAAAATGAGAGAGACTGGCATACGATAGATTCCCTTTTCTTAGGAAAGTAAGGGGTAAGGTAATTTACTGAGAATGAAGGGAGATGAGGTAGGGTTGAGGAATCAGAGTGACAAGGGTGTTGATAACTGCTCTGGGAGTTCATTGTTGAGGAGTAGGGACAGCCCTTGGAGGGGCTCGAGGGCCAGGAGTGGCACACACACCTGCCTACACCACACTGTGCTTCCTACAAGCATGGTGGGACCAATGGGGCCACAGGCTTCTCCACAGAGACATCCCTTCCCAGGGGCAGAGTTAACAGTTCAATCAGATGTTTCCTAGAGTGAACAATGGAAGGCAGGACGCCCCATCCCCCAATCTGGAATGGACTTCCCTTTAGCCAGCTGCAGAGCTGTGGTCTTAGGTTTACTAGAGGGAGGTGAATAAGCCATCTCATTGCAGAGTCTCCGATTTTGGTATCTTTTTATCTCTTCTCTTGGATTGGCCATTTCCTCCAGGGAAGCCTTGTCCAATGTCCTGCCTAGAGTCTATCCATTTGGCTGTGTTCTGGGAAGAAGGGTAAGGCCTCAAGATTCACTGTGCAACTTTCACTGAATACCTTGTTTTCAGCACTTTTGTTTTGTTTTTTTTTTTTTTTTTCTCCAGCGGTGCCTAGAAGACCCTCTCCAGAGCATGAAACTCTGGCTTCCGCCTGGCTGGGCAGGGA